CGCCAGCCATACTCCTACACACACTCGATACCCACCCTTGAATCGGCGACACTTCACTCGACGACTTTACTTTACTTCGTGTCTCAGCTACCTGAAATTGCACCCAAGCTCGGCAGTACACCAAGCGCTTTCCCTGTGAAGTACACCCTTCGCTTGACCGTCTAGCTACCCGACTTGCGGAGTTCGGCTGCTAGCGTCATCTGACCGTGACTCCACCGAGCGTACGACGGCCGTGTCTAGCTTTAACGATCGACTCGCGACATTTTGGTGACCGTCTTCTGAGCGTTTCAGCTCCGTACCCTCTCCGCGCACACTCCTGAGCTCTAGTAACCTTCCGCTTACCGTTTGCGACACAAACAGCCTCAAGTACGCGTCAGAAAGCAGCCGTGCCGTAGCGAAACTCCCTTCGTAAGCCAGTTCTTCCTACACCAACTGAAGCCGGTACCTTCAAACTTAACTCCCTCGTGACTTGACTTGCGGCTACACTTCACATTCACTTTGAACACCCTCTTCACAGCACGAGCCACCGTCGAAACACCTCGCTTTACACTTCATCTCGTACTCAAACACTTTTCCATCTATCTCAGCTACCGTATTTCCATTCCCAACACACTTCTCTGCCTTCACATCGCCAGCCATACTCCTACACACACTCGATACCCACCCTTGAATCGGCGACACTTCACTCGACGACTTTACTTTACTTCGTGTCTCAGCTACCTGAAATTGCACCCTAGCTCGGCAGTACACCAAGCGCAGCAGCCTGGGAACGGTCTTTCCACGTGGCAAATATAATTGTTCATAATTTCAATCTATTTACATATGTACACTTAGTGACGATACGCGCAAAGCGCACGATTCCAGCCATCGCCAAACGAGACACCATCGCCGCACGTCACACCTGCTTTTCGCTGCCCAAAACTATCAACCCTCCCGTCTCGCGCCGTACGTATTCTGCGGACGGACGGCTCGAGCCGCTCTTCGCTTTCCGCGCACGTCCGACGTCCGTCAGGGGAGTGATGGCGGGCAGCCTGCCACACGTCGTCTGTACATGTCCTTCGCGTCCTTTGTTCCCGACACAGGGCGCCGCTGGCGGTGGAAGTTCGTGCGAAACCGGTAAGGACCCATACGCAAGCGCGGCGTGCGGCGGTGGCGGCGGCGTGGACCTTTATAGGCCCAGAGAACGGGCGCGATCTGAAGATGTAGTCCCAATAGCGGTCGTTGTCGCATACCGTGCAGTATGATTTGCGTGTGCATCGGCGTGACGGTTGGCGCGCGTCTTGCACCATGCGCGCGTGTTGCATCAGTGCCACCGGACGTAGGCATTCGTGGGGCACGGTGACTCTGGCGTGGCGACGCGAGCTGTGGCAGAGAGGTCGTGCTCTTGACCATCGCACCCCGGTATGATATATGACGGCCGCACAGCGGGCAGCATCGGCGCAGCGTATAATGTCGTCCGCGCACGCTGCATCGATAACCATCAACTCTACGCTCACATTGCATCGTCAGCTATGCATGTCATGTAACCATCCGAGAAGCACGTACCTCGTCTACGTACGCGATCAACGTGTCCTATTTGAGTCCACGAGAACGTGCGCGAAGTTTACGAGCACAGTCCTCCTTGAACGCTCGTCGTTTTGATGTGGAGCATTGTAGAGGCATCACAAGGCGAGCCCATGAGCACTGGCCCACCGGCTGGGTCTAAGTCGGCGTGGCTCCTCGCAAGATACCACGAAGCATGTTGGCAAGACGTGCAGCCGCGAGTTGAGTACTTCAATAGTACGAGCGTCGCGTGGCGCTGGGCGCGTACGACTCGTGCGCATTTGACGCCAAGTGACACGGCGGGTGTGTGACGATGCCGTCGCGCACGCGCACTGGAGCATGCCGCGAACATGAGCCTCCGTTCGACAACTATCGCGGGCGACTGTATTTTTTCGTAGATATCTATACGTTCAGTTAATGACTGGCGAGTCGACTCTGCAAGGGATAAAGAGGCTTACCGTGGGCGCGCCAATGCGAAAGTCCGGTGAGTTTGTAGCCTTGAACGCTTTCGAAGCCTCAGCACGTCAGACTCAGAGTTCGTCTGTAGTCAAGTCGGTGATGTGTCGGTTGTCGTATTGGCAGGGTGACTGGGCGAAGCCAGGAGCGAGGAACGGGTGGGGGCTTTCGAGTCAATTGCCGCTAAACTCGTGTACGCGGGTACGTCGTCGAGCCGGACATTCTGAAGGGAGCGGGTAGAATGCATGATAGCAGACTCGAGAGCAAGAAAGAGCTAGGCGGACAGAGCTTCGCGGCAGCACAGGGAGATGGCGGTCGTGGACAGGTCACAGAGCCGCGCCTCGGACGCCGCGCCAAGCGGATGCGCGGACTTCCTACTCCCACGGCGGATTGCATACGCTCTGACTGAGTTTCAATTGAACGTATTATGCACCTCTTGATATGGATACTTATGTAGTGCTGTGTATATAATTCGCTTCGCTTCGCCCCGACATCCGTTATCATTGAGCCTTTCTCTTGAGATACTTGAGAATCGGCTATGTGAATACTACTACATGAAGGCGCCATGAGCGCGCTACAGTGTACGACAGTACCAAGTACAACAACTTCATCCCCTTGCCAGAATAGTTCGCCCGTGTGCTCGCTGACGCAGCCGTATGTTCGTCTCTCCGCTTGGAGGCTCGCGTACTTTGCCTTGTGCGTACGAGGTGGACGACGGCATCGTGGGTGCCAAGTGTTACCGGCCACGCTCGATTCCGATTCGCCTGAATGTGCGCATCGAACCCTCCGCTGGGTATTGAGTCGGATACCACACTCGCAAAACGCCCGCCGCTTCGCTCAACGCCAGCGCTGACATCGTCGAGGATAGCCGTGTGCATAACGTCCAACGCGCACAATGCAGCGAGACCGTCAGCGTGGCCTCGAAGAGCGGTCTAGTGAGCAAATAAGCTCGCGCGGCAAGCAGCGTTTGCCGATATGAGAGTGTGCTCGCGAGCGAGGGCGAATGTTGGTGAGTGCAGTGCATGAGGCTCAGAAACGCGAGCGATAGCGAGCATGAGCGTAGCGAGTCTCCATATGAAAGCGAAGTGAACGCGGAGTAGAGCTGGTTAGAGCAGCTAGCGAGAGGCTTGTTATGCGAGTCATGAGTGGTAAAATACGGCGAGGCCACGAGTTTCTTGTAAGCTGCTATGGCCCGGCAGTCCCCATCGGAATTGTGGCAGGTGCGCGCGGCGCCAGGACGGACGTCTTCCTCCAGGCAGCACATAGACAATACCCACGGTGAGCGGGGGTGTGATCTGTCTGATCTACGAGCGGTCCGAGACGACAGTGCCCGGTATGTCCATGAGGCGTGTGTGTTCCGCGACGGAGCTTGGTTGGCTAGCGTTGTACCAATCGTGAAACGACGGTTTGCGAAGCTGTTCATCCACATCGTACATGTATTCCTCGATGTCGGTGCTGAGGTCAAGCAAGTGGCGTAGCAAGCTCGCCTAGACTCTGGAGTCGTCGCTGAGAACGAATATGAAGGCCAGCAGGCGCTACGGGCTTACGGCCGCGGATGAATAGCTCAAGCAGCGTAGTTTCGACGACATTGTGTATGAGTTGATTGGAGCTTATCGCGAGAGCATTATTACGATGAATGGTTTGAAGGTATCGCGGAGGAATCCTTCAGAGGGTTGTCCTTTTGCGCCTGGTCCAAGAGTTCGGTCAAGCCCTTGTCCGCAATAGCTTTCTAATACACTCATCAGATATGGCCGAGCATCAAAAGGTATATATGCACCTGTACGCATTCGCGATAGCCCAACCAGACCTTTCCGCATTTCTGCTGATACTCCTCCGCTTTCGCCTTCGAGTATGCGGCGCGGGTGCGCTGGTCGGACGAGGAGGCGGCCACGGCGGGTTCCAAATAACCTTCGAACCAGGTATTGAAGCAAGCGTCATATTCGAGCTTGAGTGGCGTGCATTCCGGCGCCAAGCTGTCGGCCATGGTGGTGGTAAGGAGGAAAGGTGCGAACAGACGCGCCACTCCGCCTCGGCCTCGCGCACCTCCCTTCTCTTCCTGCTCTCACCGCGTACTCGGTGCCGCGATGGTTCTCGTTCTAGTTATTGGAGACTTGCACATACCTCATAGAGTGCACGACCTTCCCGCAAAGTTCAAGAAATTGCTTGTGCCGGGTAAGATACAGCAAATATTGTGCACCGGCAACGTCTGTGACCGCGAGACATACGAGTACCTGCGCACCATAGCCGCAGATGTGCACGTAGTACGCGGAGACTATGACGAGGTATGTCTTACTCTCTCTGTATACCGTACGCGCTATGAATGACGTCTTACCTCTCTATGCTCGTCACTGCATAGTCTGCTGCCTTTCCCTTGTCGATGACCGTCAACCACTCGCCTATACGTATCGGTGTTGTCCACGGGCATCAGTGCATACCTACGGGAGACCTTGACTCCCTTGGCTCGATCGCGCGACAGTTGGACGTCGATGTACTCATTTCGGGCCACACACATACGTGCGTTGCCCTATCTCGCCGTATTGCAGCAATTCTGACAAGTATATAGCTTCCAGGCCATCGAGCGCGACGGCAGGTTCTTCTTGAACCCTGGCTCAGCTACTGGCGCATGGACTGGCGCGTTCAACGGGTACGTGTTTGCGTTTTTGCCTCAAACATCACCTCACTGAACACGCGCAGGGACCCGATACCATCGTTCGCCTTGATGGATATCCAAGGACCGGTTGTGGTGACGTACGTATACCAGTTGATTGAAGGGGAAGTGCGGGTCGAGAAGGTCGAATACCGAAAGGACGCGGAGGCTTTCGTGATCAAGGACACGGCGCCGAAGAGCTCGGCTATGCCGCAGGATATCCCGGGTGCCGCTGTCGGACAGGGTGTGTGGTAGAGGCCTTGGTATGTTTGTATCGCATCTTGGATTGAGCATGGAGTTTTAAAGTACGTCGCGCACATCACACTGAAGAGAATTCCGCATTGACTTCGGTATAGTGTACGATATTATTGTGAATATAAATTACGCGGTCGTCTTGCCTCTAAACCTGGCTGAGGACTCGATGGCTGCTGTGTGGTATCGCGGTGCCTCAGACTTGGCTGACGACTCTGCCACGATCGCAAGATATAGTCCATCCCCGCTTCGCCCGAACGCAGGAGCTGAAGAACGGTATTGTGCGCATAGAACGACGTGGGCCACTTCCAGTACGCCCATGCATACGCGACGAGCACCTTATGCAAGGTCTCGAGCCGCGTTAGCGTCTCGCTGGGCCTATTAACAGCCCTGTGCTCTTGCTGCGCTCGCCTCGCCTCGTTTAAAGCCTCCAACAAGCCTCCCGCTTTAGACGCGCGCGTGATCTCCACTGGCCCCTTCTCCGCGAACTCGCGCAGAAGCTCGAGAAGGACGGCTGCGGTGTCATCGTCATGGTTCGGGTATGGGAGCTCGAGCGCGCCCTTGCGATCGCGCATAGCAAGACCACTGACGATGTTGTCCGCGTCGACGAGTTTAGCGCGGGCCTTCATACCAAGCTTCGCGGCCTCCATATACGGCGGGAGGCGGGAACAGTACACCAGTGCATCGCGCGCGACCACCATGGATGTACCCTCGGGTAATATGCTCATAAGCCGATCGAGCGAGCCGTCGGTGAACCCGACTTGCGCGTGCGGGAGCATAGAGATGGGCGCGTCGAACGCGGCCTTGACCACAGGCAGATCTTCCTTGTGCAGTGTCGTCACTACACCAACGTTCTCGTCCTCACCCCCATGCAACCCGAACCTCCCTGCCCGACCTCCAATCTGCTTGATCTGGCTCGTGGTCAACGGCTCCATCGACGACGTCCCCCCGCTGAACTTGGTGACCTCGGTGAAGATGACGCGGCGGATCTTGAGGTTGAGGCCCATGCCCAAAGCGTCGCTCCCGACGAGCACGTCGTAGCCCGAGTTCGGATCGTTGAACAGCACGGCCTGCTCGCTTCGTACTTCGGGCGGCAAGCGGCCATACGCAATAGCGCAGCGCAACTTCGTCCGCAGCTCGATCTCCCGCTTCGCAGCGAAGATGCGCGAGCGGCTGAAAGCGACGACACAGTCGCCCTTCTGCACTTTCGAAAGATCTCCAAGCGGTTCATCCGCGACGCGTAGCGGGCTCAGACGCTCGTAGCGGTTCACGATGAGGTCGTCGCCAGTATCGCGGAGCAGCGCCTCCACAATCGGTACTGCGGTCTCCTCTCCGCATAGATGCACCTCGCGCGCCGGCACACCCAGCACCGCGAACGTCCAAGACGCCCCACGGTCGGGGTCCGCGATCATCTGTATCTCGTCGATGACAGCTATATCGCGCAACGTCCTGAAATCGCACATCTCGACCGTGCACGCGCCGAGGTGCGCGCCTGGGATCTCGCGGCGCTCTTCGCCCGTGATGAGGTTGCACTTGCGAACGTAGCGCGGGTCGCCGAGCGCATGTATAGCAGGCGCGGCGGGTTTGCCGTTCTCAAGGGGCGGTACAGCATCGAGGTTCGATTGAATGTCGACGTTGGGTTCGGGATGGGGGTCTGAGGCGGGGTCGGCGCCGAGCGGGATGATCTGGCCGGAGTTGAGGCGAGAGAAGATCTCGAACGCGAGGAGGCGGAGCGGGCCCATGTACTGCCCGCTGCGCGCAGCAGCGAGGGCACGTAGAGCGTTGTGCGTCTTTCCCGAGTTCGTAGGACCGACGTGCATGATGACTTTGCGGCGCATGCGCCGGGCGTCGCCGAAGCGGCGGGCGAGCTGACGGTAGTCGAGCTCTTTCGCGATGGCAGCTATGCGGGACAGTGACTGACTTGCTATGGGCGCCTCAAGAGTAAGCCTCTCTACATTGTCGGCGACCCAGGCGAATAGAAGTTGGTTTAAGGTGCGGGCGACAGCGTCCATCGACCTGCCGGTGGTGTTTGAAAGCTCGTCCCAGAGCTTGTCGACTTGAGCCGGGTCCTTAGAGATGGAGCGCCATGCAGAGCCATCACGCATGCTCTGTGCGAACATGTCCAAGATGATTATAAGGTCATACTGTCTGATCCCGAAAGCTCGCAAGCGGGTGCGTACGGTCGGCGAGGCAGACCAGGTGGGGAGAAGATCGACTAGTTTCGCGTGTAGTTGCTGTTCCGCATCTGAAGGGGCTTTGGTAGATTGTGGAAATGAAGGGGGTGGAGCGGTGGCTGATGTGGACGAGATAAAGCGGAGAGCAGGTGGCAAAGCGCGGTAAGGAGAGCAAGCAAAGTGGGCAGAGAGCGCGGCGCGGCTACAGAGAGGCAGACGAAGCGAACATCTCAGCACGTTCATCTAGAAAGGCACATTCAAGTATAAGCGCGCGCCAGATAGAAGACACGCGCGGAGTTGGTGGTCGAGATGGCGGTGAGGAAGGAAGACGCGTGCGGTTATTCTGGAAGGAGTTTATTCACGTGGGCGCATGTTCGGGCGTGCACGCCTTGTTCGCGTGTGTGCTGAACCTTGTAACTCGCGCTCACCACCTTCTCCGCCCTCACCCAGCCGCCCGCAGGTCGGTCCCGGCACTAGCTCAGACGATGAGCAGGCGCGAGCCCCGCGCCTCTGCCGCCGGCGCCGCACAGAAGGATGCCCTCCACGAATTCGAGCAGTGTACGTCTCTTCGCCACTCCGCCCAGACCACGGCTGACCACAAGTGGCTTGCAGTCAAGAAGAAGTTTCTGCTCGCCAACAAACACATCACGAAGTACGTGTCTATTAACTTCTAGCTGTTACATGTAACTAATAGTACCCTAGACTCAACTCTAGCCTCAGTACGCGCTGCCAGGAACTCGAGACACTCGTCGCTACGCTCAACTCGGAGAACCTGCGGCTGCACGCCACGATGCTGTCCCTTCACGCCGAGCTGAAGCGCGAACGGGAGAAGACGATCCATGCCATGGCCGCGCTCGAGCGCACGACTGTAAGTGTGCTAGTTCGCTCGCTGTCAGCCTCGTCGAGCCCATCACTGATCTTTCCGCTTCGGGCAGATGCACGCCCTCGTACAGACATTCGGCAACATCCGTACCGAGCTCAACATCCCCCCGCCGCCGCCGAAACCGACCTCGCCCGGCCGCTCGCCGCCCAAAGTTCGCCGCCCGGATCCGTCGCTGTCACCGCACGCGAACCGACTGGCGCAAGCGCCCAATTTCTCGCAGATCGCCGAGGAGGACGAAGAAGGAATGGAGGGCAACGCCTCGCCCACCCCCTCGCCCCAGCTCCACCGGCGCAGGAAATCCGGCGGTCGCTCGTCCGGCTCATCTTCGTCCTCCGGGCCTCTCACATCTGCGACACGCCCTGCGTCTACACAGCCTCAGCCTCTCGCATCGCTTCTACCCGCACCACAGATCGTAACAGCCATCCATGTTGATATCGATGATACCCTGTTGGCGCCCAGCACGCGCAAACGTATTGCACGGCGGCAGAGTGGTTTGATCGGTACACCTGCGCCCGCACCATCGATTCACTCGCTTACACCACCACGCCCGCCTAGTCCCGCGTTTGGATCGCCCTTACGTCGAGCCGCGGGTCTTGCCGAAGAAGAAGAGGAGAACGGAGTGCAGGATCGGGATGTGCCGGACGCAGAAGCGGACGTCGAGGAACAGCTCGCGCGAGCCGCAGCCGCGAAGAAGGAGAAGCGCCGTCGGCTAAAGGCGTTGTCGGTCCAGGCCGGGGAGACGGAGGGGGAGAGCGAGAGTGCACGCGAGCGGGACCGAGATAGGAAGGAGAGGGACAGGGACAGGGAGAAGGAGAAGGAGAGAAGGCGGTCGCGGCACGAAGCGGACGAGCAGGGTGGGGCAACCGGCCCGCTCTTTAGCTTGAAAGACGTCACCAACACTGCTATAGGTCAAGGACGTACCGCGTTACCGCCCCTCGAGATCCCCTCGATTCCCCTCAGCAGTGAGTCGAGAACTCACTATCTCGACGATTGACCAGACTCTGACTACTTCATTCGCAGTACAATCACGAAGATACTCTACGCCTGAAGACTCGGACGTGCCGACTTCGGCCTTTACAACATCTACGCGCCCAACGCTTACCACGCCCGGCACCACGCCCGGCCCTTCGCATCTCCCAACACCTCGCACGTCCAGCCCCCCACCGATACCCCACGATCCATCTCCAGAACCCGATCTCCCAGCGGGTGGGCGCGAGCGCCGCGTGCGCAGGAGTGTGAACTACGCCGAACCTAAACTGAACACGTACGTTCTATATCAGAACAGCTGTCTACACTCCTTGACCGATCGCTTACACACATCCCACAGTAAGATGCGCAAGCCCGATCCGCCGCCCGAGGCGCAACCACGGCGCTCTTCGACCGCCGCACCGCGCTCGTCCGTCGCTTCCCGCGCATCATCTTCGGCGGTGACGGACGACGTGAACGTCACGGTCAAACGCAAACGATCGCGGCCGCAGCTGCCCGTAAACGAAGACTCGGACGAAGGCGGGGACGACGACGACGGCGCGCAGGCGGACGAGGAGTACATGCCGTCGCGCGATTGGGCTGGAGGGATTACGCGGCGAAGGAGTACACAGGCTAGCTCGAGCCGGCGCGCAGGCTCGGGCGTCGAGGAGAGGCGGCACAGCACATTGATATAGCATATGCCCCATGCCATGCAACAGCAACTATGACTACGACCCACTACGAAGGATAAGCTCGTCGCGCACACCAGACCCAGCTTTTATGACCCCCTCTTTTTCCGCATCCATTGTTCACGCCCATCGCACGTTCGCCCGCTGTGGATTTGCTTTTTCTCCTCTCCAGATTACAGAAGGACACCCCCCGAATTTTGTACATATGTAGCACACTAGGTCTCGTGGGTTTTGAGTAGGGTAGAGTCTGTGTCGTTCCTCTGTTGAGGCGGCCGTTATTACAATCTGTTTGTTTCTCATGTGATCGCGTGTTCGAGCGCTCGATTGGGTTCAGGGTCGCGGGAGAAGGCTGAGGGGAACTTGACTTTGGACCACCATGATCGGTGTCGCGTTGAGTATGCTGCAGAGGCCAACGGCAGAGGATTTTGCTCTGCGCTACGCTATGTTCATGCGTTGAATGCATCTCTACACCTCGCGTTATAGACTTTCATCTCGGTATCAAACGCTGGGGCCGTTCGCACAGATCATGCTAGCTTCTTTCGCCGCTCTTCCGCAGGAATATTCGTTTCTTCCTACACAGGCACGTACGTATCCAGGAATGGTTTATGGCCTGGCGGCGATCCCGTCTCGTACTCGGAGGACGAGCTTGTTGTCTGTGAGGCTCAAATGTGAGATGCAGCCGATGCTGCCAGCGATGAGCGCTAGGCCCCTTCGAGCTCTTCAGGCGTCGACGTCTCGCTCCTGATATCACCCATGTACTCTACGCCAGCGCTGTGTCGCTCGCGATCTATCCAGATGACCGTGGTTGCCAGGTACGCCGAAGATGTTACCCATCCTAGTCCGTACCAAAGGCGTTGATTCTACACGTTATCGGGATCTACGTCGCACGCGCGAATGTCTTGCTACCTGGTTGGGCGCACTTGGATGGTATCTCACGCTTACCCGGCAGCTAGACCGCGAACGTGTCCCTTCACGACAGTGGCTTCGAGTCAGGGAGTGCTGTACACAGTCCCCTACGTTGGCGACGCTACATAACAAGTGCTAGTCTAGTACTATATGATGGCCGCTATCATGATAATCAACGGCCCACTCAAGCACAGTATGCCGCGTCTCTCCCGGGTTAGGAGTCTGCGATGACCGCTGGGTCGTATGCGAAGGACCATCCAAGACGTGGTCTCTCAACGAGCGTGCACGTCTCTGGAGGTATCTCTGGCTCTGATCGATGTTCCCGACGCTCGCATTACAGCTCGAGATCTAGATTTTGGCACTCGACTCATCACCGCTACTCGCCGGTTTTGTCGTGCTTAGCTGCAGTGCTTGACGCTTCATATTAAGACCGTAGACGTGGAGGTGAAGTCTAGCATCAGCACCTTAGTGCTGCTCCTCGGCCGAACTACTAGCCGCACTGGAGCACTGGGGCGCTGACGCACTCAGCGCGTAGTTTACAGTATAGCGTCGTATCATAGCCCTCATGCCTATAAATTTACAAATCATAAAAGTAGTGAGGAAAATGTGCTCGGCGTATAGAGGTCCGAATGGGTCCTCGTGGACGCAGTGATCGGAATGGAAGACGCGAGACGCGCTGGCCACAAACGCGCCTCAGCGCAAACACCCATGGCAAGCGTCGCACCCACCGCCTCACGGCTCGCGCAAGTCGCGCGTATGCGCGCAACAATCTTCCAAACTGCGTATAACCCTACCTCGTTGCGCACGGGCGCGAAGTACCTCCGCCGGAGGTTGCAGGGCGCGTCCATGCAAACATACTACCCCGACCGCATCAGCATTGCTCAGGTCAACCGAAGCCTGCCTGCGGACATGAAGTTTTGGGATCAGGAGGAGGGTGATCGTGTGCAGAAGGTGCAGGACGACAAGGACCGCGGGAAGGGTACGCCGAAGAAGGCAAAGACGAAAGGTGTGTACCCTGCTACCAATTTAAGATATGAAATATATACTAAAGACTTGCACAGAACAATCTCGTCGTGCTGGCAGGAGGCGGTAAGCCTCACTCGCGCTTTATCATTACTGCTATCGCCCGCTTTGCTTTGTACCCTACGCCACTACTATTCCTCATCCACATCGTCAAATGCGAGCATGTCTCCTTCTCCCTCAAGCTCGGACTGCAGGAGCATCTCTGGCTCAACCAGTCCCGTCATCTTTGGCATCTCATTGCCTCGCTCCCCCAGCTCATCCAGTGTGCAAGAGAATATATCGTCGAAGGCGTCAAGCCGGATCTGCTCTTCTCCTGTGTCTTCAACCAGACCCGTGTCCTCTGCGGCGTCTGCGAACTCTTGAGCCTGAGCTCTTCTCGTTCGCTCGAGCCATATAGCGAGCGCTTCTGTACCCGACAGAAGCAAACTCTTGAGCCTCGTACGCTCTGTCATGCTGACGCCTTGGCACTCCTGAGAAGCCCCCACGCCGTCTCGTTTGATGGGGTCCCACCGCCGTCGCTTCAGAACGGTGGCCCATCCCCTATCCAGTACCTCAAGCCACTGCTTTAACTGTGCTACAGCGTCTGGTTGTGGATCGTATCCTGTGATTGCAGTGAATGTGTCGTTGGTGTAGCGCAGGAGGTAAAAGGTGCGAAGCGACGCTGAACTTCCAGCAGGCGGTATTTGGAGGATGAGCGCGAGTAATGGCCGTGCAGTCGTGAGATACGCGTCTAATGTGCGCATCGTTGAAGACTCGTCCGTTCTATTTATCATACATCATGTCAGTCGGTCAAACTGGGTTAGAATTATGTATGGTGACTGACCGTTTCTTCGAGTTCCGTACGAGATCCATGAAGCGCTCCTCCAGCGCTTCTCGCAACCGGCGTTCTTGCCGCTGAGTGAGCGGCTTGATAACTGGCTCTACACTTGCTTCACTCTGTACGGGCGGTGACTGCGTCATGGTGGTTCGTGGTTAAGTTGTGTTGACAATGGACGCCGACGTCATGTCAGCGCTCCCGCGGTACTTCACAGAGGCGCATACTCCTCATTTACACAGTTGCGAGCATCATGTTTCTTGCTTCTACGCCAGAGTTACGTAACAGTCTACATCCAGACTATGTCCCTGATGACTGTCCTCTACTACGTAGCCAAATTCGAATCATCCTGCGGTTCTGCTCGGAAAGACTCTAAACCAGTCTCTAAGCGGGCCCATGCCGCCTGAAGCGCCTCGTCGGCTACAAAGACCGATGCATAAGTTGGTATCCGTGCGGAAGAGAATCGTTATACTTACCCGTTTGTTGTTCAGCCACGTCGGGTGGAGGGCGCGAGTAATCCTCCCAGCCATGCCAGATCATGTTGAGGAGTCTTGACCGGATTAACTTCTCTATGGCCAAAGCCTTCTCGGAACTGCCGAGAGAAGGATATCGCCATTGCGTGATCTGCCCACTGGTACCCCGGGTGTAAATGTTGGCGCCGGTCTTACTGCGATAGACGGAAAGGTACATGTCACAACGCGCACAAGAGAGCTTGGAGACGGCGATGTAGGGTAATGCGGGCCGGCTGTGTATATGCGCCAGAATCTGACACTCCGGATGAACGAGACCAGGATTAAGCACTGCAGATACCAGGTCAAACGAAACCTCACGCGCTGTGGAAAGGCACTAACCCAGTTTCTCTTCGCTGGCGTCGAGCCAGGTACCACCCTGAGTCGCTTGAAGACCCCGGAGAAACCTCCTAACCTCGCCGGCGTTGCTCGTGTCCAGAACCAGCCTCAGCTCATCATAATCAAGCACAACAGAAGGGGAGCGCTGCACTGGCGGTACGCTGGTGATCTGCCTTGCACCAACAATATCCAATAGTATCGGCGCCAACTTCGGTGATAAGACACCTTCTATGAGGCGATTGAAGTGTTCGCGGATCTCAGTGATCTTTGACAACCAATGTGCGACATCTGCACTGTGCTTATCATCGCTAGAATCGCTCTGCAGCCTCTTCAAGCGACCTATTCGGCGCTCGTGATAAGCTTCTGTAAGACTTAGCGTAACAGATTGCTTACATGACGTGTACGCATCCCATGAGCGGCGATATGAGTTGATACGTTGAATTCTCTCCTTCCAGCCGGCCATACTATGCAATAGAAGACGAAGGCCATCAACCGTGACGTCGCAGTTGTTCCCCAGCAGTCCAATCACTCTAAGCTGGGATTCAAATTCATCTCGAGGGAACAGCTCTGATGTCTGCAGGGTACGCAGGTGTGCGCGTTCAATGTCATCTGTGATGTCCGCGCGCGCTGCCACAGGAAGGCCATATACGTCTCTGGCTGTATCAAGAAAGTGACGGTAACGTGAATGCTTTCTAAAGCGATGCAATAGCTTTATGCGGGAGTGTTCAATTATAGCACGTTCTAGATCTATGATCAAGCGCCCAAGATACGAATCAGGGTCAGATGTGGGAAGGGTATCGATGCGGGAGGGCTTGTCTTGTAGAGGAAGCGCCAGATGAATGTCGCGTAGACGACGGACGATATGAATCGAATGGGTTAGGGTAGCCTGAAGGCAGTCTCCGCTATCAGACACCAGCAGTTCAAGACCAGGGCCTTCATCGCGTAGCCTCAGGCCAACCGCGACAACCTGTTTCTCTTCGCGGGAGACGAGCAAGTATGCAAGACTGTCGAGGACGCGAGCCTGGCGCCGGTCAAGATCAGAGCCAAAGGTCGAGAACTCTTTTCGCCCTTTGGAAGAGCTGAGCCCTTGAGCAATGATAGACAGTAAGGTTAGATCGTGAGTTGGAGAGGACGGCGCGTCGCCCATGATGGGCGTTCAGGAAGGGTTAGGCGTGCGATACAATGACGAAGTTGATTGGCTGACGACGCGGTCACATGTGTTTCCTATATTGAAACGCTGGGCGCGTACCAACTCGCGATCATCGGTAGTGACTTTAATCTGACAGGTCTCAATCTAGGCCTAAGCACCGGAGCATCTCAACTCTGCGTCATACAGTCGCGGGATGCATCAGTGGTATCGCAGGCAAGGTGCGCGATCGAAGGGAGCACTGTCAAGTTCACATTCCGCCAAGAGCTGCCAAACTCGCGTGTCATATCTCTCACGCACGAGCTGATAGATATGGAGCTGAACATCTTGCATTTCGCCACCACCATCCCCGCTCAGGCGTCAGACTGATTCGCTGGGTCGAATCATCCCTCTAACTTCTCCTGCGCTACCTCTTCCTACTGACGCTTGACGGGATCATGGCTGGCCTTCTCTCACCGACGCTCGAAACCCAGTTTGCAGCCCTGACACTGGTGCGTACCTCACTCTCATGATCCCTATCTCTCTAACGCCCACGTCAAGGCACCCTCTGAAGTACACGCTACCATCAAGGCCGCCGAAACGGAACGCTCTCAGATTCAAGAAGCTCACGCCGCTCGCGATGTCGTCGTCGCCATGCTCGCCACCGTTACGCGCTCCGTTCAGGAGAAGGCATCACAGATCTCGCAGCTTCAAGACGAGAAGTCCCGCCTACAAGACGCTTTGACTTCACTCAAGGATCACGGCGATAACAACAAACTACGCCCCGCTGTCCCATCACTACGACTTGCTGAACCTGCGAAGCTCTCACCAGTCGCCACCTCGTCGCTCAAGGCACCTGGCATGAATAGCCTCCTTACGGTTTGTTGAGACTACATGATGTCAAAGTCACTCAGCTGATCATGGTGTAGCCGCCGATCACACCGACCGAGTCTACCGACCGCAGGTCATACGTGTCCGCTGTCCGTCCGGGCGAGGACTCGATCAGTGGCCCACCGGCGTCTATCGCTCTGATGAAGGTCTGTACACAAGCTCCCTCTCGCAATCATCTTCTTACCTGCGTCTCAGGACGAATGTGACTTGGACCCCGATGCCACGATCAAAGCCCGCCACGCCATCCTTGCCTCTTTTCCTGTCCCAAACGGTATCCCCGACGAGGAACTCAAGCCGATCTGCCTACCCGCGCACATAACTATGCAGGACTTCTTGTCGGACTTGCCCACGGTGAGTATCTTCCCATTTCTCATCACGTACGCGACACTCATGAACCTGTATCCGACATAGGCCTTGAGTGCATCGTGCGTACATCTCCTTGTTCCATGCTGGTTTACTGACCATCACTGCTATGATCAGCTTATCGAACCACCGCATTCTTCAGGAGACGACTACGCACTGGTGTCCTGAGGCCGAGGAGCATGGATACTACCTCTCACCCTTGTTCAAGTGCTCGACTAACAATCGCGTTGCGACGGCGCATAACTGGACCAGATCCGATGTCGTCGGCTCATTGAGAAACCCCACTGGTATGTGTAGACTCCCTGTGTCTAGGCCAAGGACTCACGCCATTCCGCAGAGTGCTTCTATCTTCGCGGTGGTCAGTGGTACTACGCTGGAGCGTATACTGCGGTCCGCCTCGCCGACCTGACGCCGCAAGAGTGGGAGCATCTCTCGACCGAGAGCACTCAGGCCATACTCAAGGAGACGCTCGCGGAACGCAAGAACGTCGCGCCACAACATCTATACGAGATCGCACAACTCTACGCTGCCGGTGCTTTGCGCGTCGCGTGCGTTGGCTTGAAGTGCATCGGCTTCAACACGTCCCTGTATCACTCGTTGCTCGAGCATGCCGCTCAGTCCGGAAGGACGAGCCGCCAGTGGACAAACCCTGCATCGCGGGAGTCATCTCTTAGACCTGATACGCCTATGAGCACGCTGAGCCCCACCGCTGCATCATTTGACTCGCCTCGCCTGTTCTCGTTAACCGGTCGCGGAGGAACGACGAACCTACACTCTGGGGGCGCCGCGTAGGCGCTGCATCTACACTGAGCATTGCTTTTAGCACCGCATACACGCATTCCTGTACAAAAGACCATCTTACTTACACCCTACTTACTGGACCAACACAAACTCACTGTAGCCTTATCTTCGTTATCTGTATATTTCACGTTATACCATTGTGTATCATTGTTCATCATATTCATCCAGTTAGCAATGGGCGATTCGAAGTGTCACAAACGCTACAATGTTCGATGTCCGAAACGGGGTATGTGGGCAAACCATAGGTAGATAGATAGACTTGAAAGCATTACCAGGGCGCTTGAATCTGTGGGACGGAAGGCGCAGGTTGCCATGACTGGACGGGTTTGGCCTTCTTTGCTGCTTGCTGCCGCTCGGCGTCGCGGCAGCGTTGCGCCGCAGCTTCGATCTCGGCCAGCCATGCTTGACACTCACGAGCAGAGCTGGCGCGAAGAACGATAGCATCACCCCCTCGCGGATATGCCTTCGAGACGCGGAAGGACGTCTCGTCTGTCATAAGGTCATCAATCCAGATATCCAGCCGCGCGAGCAATTTGGGGTAACGTACCTCGGCCGGATGTGTCTCCAACTTGTATCTCGGAGAGGTGCATAGGCTAAGCAGATCGCATTAGCAAACGGCGAGTCGAATATGAGAACTACGCACGATGCGGTATAGGGTCTTTGCTTGCTCATCGGTGAGGATGAAGATGTCATTGCACAAGACGGCACGCAGACGACGTCCGCTCTTGGCCTTTGCAAGTATACCTTCCTTGAGCAGCTTGCGTTCGCCGAACTGACGCGTCGGCGCAGTAAGGTCAAGTCTCCTACGAAGTACATGAGAATGTTGACAACACTCGATGAAGCAGGCAAGGAGAACTCGTACCCATTACCAATCCAGAGGTCCTGAGATAGTTCGCGCAAGCGATCCTTGCCCTCTTGCGCACGGATCTCTTCGTTTATACGGCCCAGGATCTTCTCGGAAGTGCGTAGAGCGTGCTCAGTAAGCTTGCTGTCCTCATCCGTCTCGGTATAATGCAGTATCTGCACGAAGGTGAGCCTCAAACAATGCGCACAGGGGCGTGGGTTCTCACCTGCTTGATCAAAAGAGGGTATCGGGTGACACGTTGCACTGCGAACATGAGTGCACATCACGATCGAGAGGGGAAATGAACGTACTGGGGACTAGGAGATAGCTAGACAAGTCGAGATTTCGGACGGCTGGGTTCTCGGTCTGCAGTGCCTGAAGATGGGCAGCAAGCTCGGCATTCTCCTTCCGAAGCGACTGCAGTACTCTTGCAGCATTCGCTTGGTTGACACAGTATTCCTAGGACACACGACAATCCGTCAGCTAAACCCGCAGATACCCGCACGTGTCATGCCAGCTTACCCTGTATATCTTCATATTCCCCATATTGTGATCGAGAAGATCGCCGATGCGGTCAATATACAGGCGGCAATCGCGTTGCCGTTCTTCCAAAGCGCTCAAGAACGTCTGCAAGTGGACTCGTGTCAAGAAGTGATATGGTGGCCAGCGAGAACCTGAGTACGTACAGTGTTCGTTAGAAGGATATCTTCCACATTGGCAAAGATGACAGCGATAGCTTTCTGGTCGAGGATGTTCAGCATGCTACCATAGAAGACCTATAAGCACCGTGAGCAACGTTATCAGCCTGTAGGGGACTTGTGATGGCACGCTGACCTCTACGATGAGCTGTAGATCCCGGACGTAGGCGGCTTCTGTGGCGATAAACTCGAAGATCGCCTGTGCGCGTCGCTTGAGAAGCAGTGATGACTCATATAGAACGAGAGCGTACCTCCTGTCTCTTGCGCTCGCGCTCTGGTAAACCCTCAAGAGCAGCCTTGTCTACTAGGCTTGACCACGACTACGGGATGGTGCTCAGCGGGTGATGTTCCATCTTAAGGGAGGCAAAGGACTCTTACCGAGCCAAAGCCGCTTGGTTGACCGCCGTTGGTACTATCCGCGCGCTCAAGAGTTGGTGTGGTGCCACCTGCCTCCTCCACGGTGCCTTGCTGCACAGGTCCTGAAATCGGGCCAGAGATGACAGGCCGCGAGCGTGCCTCCTCAATAGGAGTCTTGCTTCTACCCAAGAAATGCGAGAGTAGGCCGCCTCCGCTCTCCCTATGCGCATGCGCTGGAATGCGGAAGATCGAGGACGACGGGCTCGAGGGTGCCGCATTCGAACTTGTACTGGCGCTCTCAGCGATGGGCGGAGAGACGTTCACGAAGCTCGCGCTGTCGAAGCTGGCGACCGAGAAGCGGTTATTGTTACTCTCAGCAGCTTGCGACTTGAACGCCTCGTAGCGTTCAAACGCATCATCGAGACGTATCGTGGGAGCGGGCTCCGGCTCCTCGTCGGCCGGCACCTCAGGCAGATCTTTGTCGTCGTCGGCCGCTCTCCTCCGTTGCCTACGACTTGATTCTGGTACAGCAGGAGCCGGACGATGTTTCTTGGGCGTCGTAACATGCGCTGCAGCACGTCGGCGAACAGGGCGCGGTGGTGGAGGGCGGCGGCCTTCTTCGCGTTTCACCACCAGTCCAGCGGCTTCCATCAACATCTGTCGTTGAAGCTCACGGGCCAGTCGCTCGTCGTCGTGTATTGAGGGTTGGGGAGTGGTCTGATCGTCCTGTTCGTCTTCAGACTCGGAGAAGGATTGGTAGTCCGAATCTGAACCGGTGCTGTCGCCGTCCTCGTCAACCTCTACACCGCCGCGAAGCCTTTCTTCTTCATTAGGATCGATTGGGGCGGAAGTTTGATTCAAAGGGGTTGCCGTAGACGGTGTTTCAGCAGCTCTCACATCCGGCTCAGGCGTCGTTTCGCCGTCTTCGACACGATGGTTAGCAACTTTACCAGGCGCATCACTCACCGGCGCATTCGCACGCGCACTCGTGGCTTATAGGGTAAATCCATCCAACATTATATTGCGAGTTTGAGAGAGAGCGATACGTGGAGGACATTCAAGAAGCACATGTAAAAGATGGAAAAAAGGTATGATTCAGCCTGTGTGCTGCGTGAAAAGATGGCGGGGGCGGGGGATGGGGCAGGGCACACTAACCAGACGCGACCTCGAGGTATGCAGCGGGCACGATGAACACGACGCCGCCCTGCTCCGCCTTCCACCAGTCCGGCTCCGACCGGTCGACGACGGACACCTCGTCGCCCTCGACGAACGGCAGCTCGTCGGGGCTCGTGCCCTCGTAGGAGTACAGCGCTTTGGCTTTGACCGGCTCGAACTCTTGGACGTAAGCCTTGGGGAAGAAGCCGGCTTTGCCGTCGCGGACGGAGGTGCCGTACCACCACTCGCCGCCGGACTTGCTCGGGTTCGCGGTAAGCACTACGTTCTCGCCGAACGCTACAACACACATATCAGCCCTTCATCCACACACATCTCAAGCGGAAACACTTACAGATATCCTCCGCACGCTGCCCCTCGTACGGGTACAACGTCCGCACGCGCATAGTCTTGCTCTTATCAACGTCCTCAAGCGGATCAGCAGCGCCCAACACCGGCTCGCTCTCATGCACCTCGATCTCCGGCACACCGCCATTCGCAGCCGCCTCATCCTCGTCCTCCTCCCTCGGGGCATTCAGCCCGCTCGGCTCCCTGCTCACAGCACCCTGATCGGCCGCAAGACCAGCGTACCAGTCCACACTCTGCCTGTTCCCAGCCTGGTTCGCGTCGTACCCCGGCGCCGCGGGGGCAGGTGGCGGCGGAGGCGGCGAAGGCTCACGCGGTGGCTCAACGGGTGCAGTGTTGATGTGCGCGGGAGGCGCGGTGTCCCCAATGACGCGTCCGCCGACGGGTGCAGCGCTACGGTCGTTCGTGACAGCCTTGCGCAGACGCGCACCACCTTGAATCGCAGAGAGCAGCGCACCACGATCTCCAGGCGCCGCAGCAGGAGCAGCAGCAGGCGGCGGCGGGGCCGGAGGAGCACCAGGAGCAGGAGGCGCAGGGGGTGCAGCGGGCGGTGCAGGCGGAGCCGGCGGCGGCGGCGCAAACGACGCAGGCGTCGGCGTAGCTGGGCTCGACACACCCGCCGCAGACGTCGGACGCGGTCCAGGCGCCGGCGACGCGCTCGGGAGAATGCTCCCGAAAAGCTGCTGCGCGATCTTCGCGCGCGTATCTCTGTTCGCGCTGATCTCGTCGTCGGAACTATCGTCATCGTCGTCCTTCTCGACGCCCCAATCATCTTCGCTGTCGTCCTTGGACGCGACGTTGTACGAGCCTGCGGGCGCGGAGGGCGCGCGGGGGGGAGGGACGGCGACTGGAGGCGCAGGTGGTGCGGGCGGAGGCGTCGGTGCAGCGCCCGCTTGCTGGGGTTTGAAGAACGGGTTCGTACCACCGTTCGCGGCGGGCGGCGATGAAACAGCCGGCGTAGACCCGCCTC